ACATATATCCTTGCGACTCTGCTGGATATCAGATGAGCTTACTAATTCGAAGACGGACTATACGATCAACCTCGTTCCCAGGGTCCTCTCCTACTCGGCCCCCGAGGTTGCTATAGGTTGCGTGGGCCGTCTGCAACTCAGGCTAGGAGAAGCTTCGTCCCGAGGTCCAACCCCTTACCCTTTTTTATACCATTTTTGACATAAACTTACCCCCTTCGTATACCTTCTATTGACAAATGGTACCCCTTTCTGATACCTAGTTTAGAAGTCTGCCCCCCTTTTAACCGCTGCCATTTAAAATATGAATAATTAAGATTCAGTCATTTCGAAATTAAACGCGTACAAGCGTTGAATTTTCCTGACTGGATTATCAAGAAATTTCCTAATGGCAGTTCTAGGCCATCAGAGTTAATTTATGTATGTTCGGTTAATTAAACTGTGATGGAACAGAGCAGTGTTCGGTTTATCAGAAAAAAGGCAATAGTTTAGTTAATGACGAGCTTTAAACCTTTAATAAATGCATCATAAAATAAAAAGGAAGACTTTTTCACTTTTAAAAAGAGCCAAATGACCACTGGTTGATTAAAAACAAATTCAAAAAAAACGAAATTTTATCGCTGAAAAACACTTTGTCTATTGTTCATGTTGGAGTCATTAATTTCAGCTTAGTCATGTTGTCAGGACTGCAATTAAATCATGCGCAGTCGTAACGATTCAGGGATCCTGACAGGAAGGCATGCATTATGATCGACCCCGCACTGACTAATGGGTCAAATGGGCACTTTTACGGAGATTTAAACCAGTTTATTTAACTACAATCAAGAATACCGTGTTAAGGTGACTCGTACCATTTTTCACCTACGCCCTTTTTGACGGCGTTGACTTTGAAAGGAAAGAGCCAGCAAGCCAAAGCCATAGTAGTTGTTGAGTGCTTCGAAAAATAATTGCTATTTCGTCCTGCGGTTACACCACTCAAATTTTGAGTTAAACTTGTTTTTCAGTCACTGGAGAAAGTGTGATTAATCACTTTCCCTGCAATGACACTAACGCATTATTGGATTCTATTTCATCACATCATTAAACCCTAAAAATGGTAATATACGGACAGTAATTTTTTAAGCACGAAAGCTTTATTCCTGTCACATGCCGTAATGGTCACGGGAGAAAATCAAATATAAGGGTGTACACGTTCGACTCTTTACAAATAAGTAAGCTACTGTTGGAGTCAGTTTTCCTTATCTTGGAAAATGAGGAGCCAGTTAATTGTTGTTTTTGCAGTTCTGTTGGTGATAGGATCATTGATTACAGAAGGTCGACAGCGTTACTGGCACCATTCCGGAAAAGGAAATATTCTAGAACAAAACACTGCATTGCGACTGGGACATTTATTTCCAATCGATTTCAGCTAAGAAAGCCGCCTAAAAAAGCATATATGATTCCCTTGCCTTGTAGACAGTGCTATTGATTTGCAGCCTAATCCTTAATTCTTTTCGGCTCGGTCAATCCTGGACTCTACCGCGAGCTGTGACGTCACCGAGAGAGACTTGCCGCGCCTCCGCGCCTTCTGAACTCCGCGCCGAGATCTTTCGCCCGCTTTTTCCCAGACTTCGCACGGACAACGGGACGTGAGACAAGAAGGATGCATGGCCGTGCTGCAAGAGCTCGCGGCTTCAAGAATATGGAAGAAGAAATAGCTGATAACCCAATGGAAAAAGGGAAGGCGGCGTAAAGAAAAAGGACGCTGATGACAGCTATCCAGTGATCGGACTGACCATGGAATACAATACAATTTATAAATGTAAACTTTTCAACTAAAACAAGAAACTATTTTTTCAGATAAAGCGCAATAGTCAGAATAAAAAACAAGGTTAATGGTAAACCTATTTCTTAGATTCTGTATGGGTAAACAATGGTCAGTTCTTAAAAGTCATACCGTAAAATACATTATTAAAATTCATTTTTATTATTCTTATTATACCATTGTAGTTTTAAAGAGTGTTTAAATCGTAGAATTTCTTCTTTATTTTCGAGTTAAATTCAAATTGTAAGCCCAAGGTCTATAATTAATTGGCATGTTACAGTATGCAGTGCTATCAAAAAGGGATCAAAAATCCCTTTGTCCTTTTCATTCATATTTTAAAACTTTTATAACGGCATTCAAATAATCAAATTGTAAACAAGACGAATCATCTATAATAATAAAGAACGTAGGCCACTTGAGATTTCGCGATATTTCGGACAAGTAAAGGATTCCATCTCCGAAAACCTCAAGTCAAAAATTTGTTGACACCTTCGCCAAGTGGCGTCTGTTTATTTATAAGGCAACTGTTGACAATATAAAGTTATCAAGTTATAATGAAACTCATTTATTGTATTTCAAGTATATTACAATATGTCTGTCTCTATATGTGGTAACAGCATGTATAGTAATCCTAAAAATAAAATAATAATAAAAAACTAAAACATTAAATTGTGATGTTATTTACAGCACCATTGTAAG